TCACTATTTCAGTTGTCATGTTTGACTTCTCTCACAGGTGGACCCCACTTTTCTCCTAACGGTCAAAAAATCAATTCTCAGAATCACTCCCAAACAGGCTCTGTAACAAAAAAAACTAAAAAAATGTTTTTCAATTTCAGTGACCGTTTCAAAAACTTTTTAAACTTCAGTGACTGTTTTTGAAAGCGTCTCAATACTTAAGTGACGGTTACTGAAAGTTTTAAATTTCAGTGACCGTTTTGTAATTTTTCTGTAAGTTCAGTGACCGTTTGTGAAATTAACCCAATATTTTTATTATCTTTATAATTAGCCTTGGAATCTAAACATTTTGGTAATAATCTATTTTCTCTTTATAATAGTAAATTGATTTAAAATTAAATTAGTTGGCACCAATTTAGGGGTGAGTTTTGGTTGATGGAGCCAATTAAACGTTTAAATTTTTTTGTTCGAAATGGAATAGGTAAAATAATAATGTCAACTAATGAATCCTTTTATAGTTGTCAAATAGAACAATCATGGCCCTAAACAATACCGTCCAAAAAGTAAATAAACAAATTAAGACCTAATCCTATTATCAGCTGTTCAATTTCAAAAGGCTCATTTCCTTCATTCGTATTTGCTACACCTACTGAATTTTGAAGTTCTTTCGTAAGGTACACTAATTTCAATTTACAATTGTATAGTTAATGTTATATTGCATATTATAATTTACTCATGTATCATTTGTCTAATTGTGTGAATGTGATGACCAAGCATCGATAATTTATGTGTCCCCAGAAAGTGAGAATGGAAACCAAGCATCCACATTAGAGGTTGATTAATGTAATTGTTTTGTATTATTCCTCTTTTACACCTTTAAATTTATATATGTTGACATTCATTTGAGCTATTCAAAATAGATATTAATAAATAAAGAGTTGAGCATGTTAAAATTCCTAAATAACTTGTAATGACTTAGGATTTAGGCACGCTGATCTCATTGACGACTAATGACATATCCACTCGGTATCTAATTAAAAGTAAATTGTGAAGCATTCTTGGCAAGTAAACCTCCTCTTGTCTTCATGACACGTTATATTATTATATGTATGAATGTGATTACATAAATTTGCTATTATGTGACATGATGTTTAACTATTACGTTTTATGTCATGAATGTTTTATGCATACTCATGCACGTCAATTCATCCATAAGCATTCGTGAAGTTTCAACGAGTAAAATGTTTTTAAATGTCATGACTCAATGAATGTTTAAAGATATGTAACCCCTAAAGTTTTTGTTACGAGATGTATCTCCATGTCATGAAGGTGTGAGTAGGAAATGGGGCGTGAGGGACCGGTGCACCCAACCAATGTTCAATGATGAATGATGAATGTTCAATGTTAATGTTAATGTTAACCGCTTTGCAGTACTATCGATAGAATTTGATCGGGTTCTAAATAACAAGGCCCGCTGCATTTTGATTAGCTATTGGCGATACATCAACGTTAATGTTTTTAAAAAAATGAAAGAATGGGGATACATATAGAGAAATGATTTTCGTTTTAAAGTAATGCATATGCATATAATTAGCATGCATAATGTGCATGGGGTTTGCTTACTGAGTATTAAATCATCCCACGTTATCCCTTTCAATTTTCAGATGATGAAGGCAGTATGATTTGAGATGATGGCTTGTGGTGTCATGGATTCAGTACCAATATAGTTTAGATTTGATTTCGCTTTGAAATAAATTTAAGTTTTTAATTTAATTGTCTTATATCTTATTAAGTACAAATATGAGGGCATTTGTTTTCTATTTTTATAAAAATGAGAATGAAAAATATAGCTATTATGGGTCCCACACAAGAAATAGAAATTCAAATTTGGTGGTTTGATGTAATGGATAACGATCATATTTTTCATTTTAATGTAAAAAGAATGGGAAACAAATAGGGGTACACACACACACACACACAAAAATGAAGTCATTGATGATTATTATCTTGAAGAAAAAATTTAGAGCATGTTTGGTACAGTTTAAAATCCAATTAAAATCAAATTTTTGACTATTATTTCACTATTTCAACCATCTTTTTGAATTCTTTTCTCACGAGTAGGACCCACTTTATCTCCAACGATCAAAAAATCAATTATCAAAATCCATACCAAACAAGCACTTAATCGCTTCCGCATTTTTGATTTTAAAAGAATATTAAATGATAATATCTCCAAAATTAGGTATTTAATTTTGGGCGTGTTACAATTTTATCCTTCAAGACGGCCTTAAGAATGTGATTCGAAAGATGAAGATGAATTTATGAAAAGGCCTTTCGATTTTTTCCTTGTTTCTCTTCCAACGACCAATTTGATGCAAATCTCAATAAGGCATTGTCCAAATCCATTTGAGCAAGCATTGATTGTATAATATTTTGTATTGTGATTCAAATGCGAATAATCTTACTTCATGGTTGCCATCACAAAAAGAAATCAGAAACAAGCATTGAACAATGAACTTGGCTCCGATACCACTTGTTGGGGGAATTAACAAGAATTATGCATGTGTTAAACGATATCACTTGTTAATAGCAAGCAAGATATATGACAAAATGTGAACTATCGATCACAACATAAAAGAACAGAAGAAAACTTGAAGAGGAATGAAGAATTTATTAATAATGGAAAAAGAATACAAAAAATAGTGTTTACAATATTATTTAACTTGTTTAATGTGTGTAACATATAAAGAAAAGTCAACTACATATAGGGACATATCAATACCCTAACAATATTTCTTAAAGATAGAAATAACTAATATAAAAAATGCATAAAATAAAACAAACTATGTTTTCCAAAAAATCCAATCGAATTTGGGTCAAACTTTAACACATGCGTCCTTGGTGAACTTGTGCAGAGGCAATCAAACGACTAGATAGAAAGAAGGAAAACAAAAGAAAAAATACACAAGAATAGAAATTTTTTTGATTAGGATCCATAAAAAAATACTGCTAATAATGTGCATATATGTAGTGAGCAAAGAATAGAAGTATTATACTACTATAAGATATCTATTATCGAAATGGACAGAATGTATACTAACTAGTGATTGTGAAAAAAAGAAGCAAGTCATTTAAAAGCTCCCACACACTCTTTCAGTTTTGCTATTTGTACAGAAAAATGCTGCCATAATTTCTACAGAATATACTTTGCAGCTTTCTATTGGACAATAGAAAAATTTTGGCAACAAAATATCTGTATTAGGGAAATTGCTGCACTCTCTATAGCCCATACTCTAGAAACACAAAATATAATTATGACAAAATCTTTCGTTTTACATAATTATCTATAATATATTAAACATTAAATCAAGCGAGTATCATTTTTTGGACGATGCTATCCTTATTATAATTCAATTATTCCAATAATATCCAACTTTTTGTTTTTCAATATTTGTTTAATTTATTAATCTTTTGAACAATATTATTACCCTACTTTTTGTTTTTCAATATGTATTTAATTCATTTAACCATATCCGACAATTTCGTTATCTTTTCATTTTTTAATATGTATTTGATTTATTTAATCATTTGAACAATATTATTATGAATTATTTTGTTAATTATTTAGTTATGATCAGTGTAGATTAGACAGATTCGTTCCACTTGATTGGATAGTAAATTAAATTCATTAAAAAAAATTTGAAACAATAGATGAATATTTTTTGAACTTTCCTCTAATTGGTTTATTTAATGAATGTTAAAATACATAGAAGGTAAACGGGGGAGAGATAATTTGTAATTATAATAAATAATTTTAGTCGATATATTTAATGCAAAAGCGAATATAAAGAAATGATAGTAATCATTGGATGTTTAGTTCAGATCAAAATGAATAATGAAGGAACTAATCTAATTAACTTCCTCAACTATTTAAATTGTTTTCACAAACCGACTTTTATTTCATTTAAATCAAAAGTTCATTCTAAATAAATAATTTGTATTAATTATGTTTTATATTTTCACATTTTACAATACCATTTTTACGACACCGATAAAGCATTTCACAAGATAATTATATTGTCATGTAATTGTCTTTACATTACATATGCTTATTAATTGCTTGGAATGCACATTATAGTAGTAATACTTGCATTGTTGTCATTATTCGTAATGTCACGATTCTTGTTTTAAAAAAGAGTCGAGCCAGAGTTCTTGACAAATATTTAGCCAAGTTTAACCTTGTTTGCTTTGTTATGCTTCGATTTAACTAGGTCACTGAGAGCTTTAACTCCGGATTGACAATTCGTCTTATCTAGGGCATGTTCTATTGTGATTTTGAGAAGGGTTGGTCTATGGGTAAATAAGGGTTGGTACATAATGGTATCCACACTCTCACATGACCACAAGGGTTTTCCTTTTGAGAATCAACTTTTTGATCGTTAGAGAGAAATATAGATCTCACCTGTAAATGAAGAAATAAAAAATGACGACTAACTTGAAGAAGTAATGATAAAAAAATTTGAATTTTTGAGGTAAAAAATAAGAACCAAACAAGTTCTAATTGACTTTTCGATTAGGCTTTTAATTGTTTTCGTGGCTTAAACTGTAAACGGGTATAAACAAAAGTATATTACGAGAAAATTTAAAATAGAGTACTTTATTGTTTTTGAATTCAATGGAAAATATATTAAAAAAATGCTTATTCAGAAATTCTCTAGAATGGGTCATTGCTCCGTTCGCAACTTCGTTTATGCACAAACTTTTCAAATGAAGTCTAAAAGCATAGAATAAAGTGATTTTATTTTTTATTTTTTTTATTTTTTCAAACTTTCAAGGACTATTTCACAAAATAGAAGAAAATTAGGTATTTAAATTAAAATTGGTATGAATCGCTCAAATATGTAGCCCTTGGAGAAGAACTTTCCCTCAACTTATTCCAATTGTTACCCCCAGAAGTAAAGGGCATTTAAGCACGATATAATAAATAGAACTTGAAAGTGACATGAAATCAAAGGAATCAATGTCACCCAAAAACACTATTAAACAATCATTGTTAGTCATTACTACATTAATACTATTAATAAATAAAATCATACACAAAAAAGAGTAGGGTTAACATAATCAATTAAAAAGACAACCAGATTTGGGGTGGGAGCGGGAGGGCGGGGGGTATTTAGGGTACTAAAAATTTGTCTATGGCTTTCAAATTTCCCAATTGCTAGAAATTCTGCCATCATAAACACGACTTCTATTCGAACTGCACTAAGCGGAGACAGATCCACAGGATAGACTCATCAACAGTATGGCCGCTTGCTCTTCTTCTCTCAATTTGCTCATCAGTTTTCCTGTTCTCTGTAACATCACTTCACTTCCCAATGCCATAAATCGCATTTTCAAAATCTCTTTAATTTCATTGCTTTTATTGATGTTGCTCCTTTTCTTTTTCTTTCCGGTTCGTGCAGTTTCCAATCCTAGATGCTGCCTCCTCTTCTTGTTGTACTTTATTCCACAAGCATTGCACAATGACTGAAAATAAGAAATAATAAGTTTCGAAATAAAAAAATTATCAAAAATATTACAAAATAAGTTGTTTCTTATTACTACCTTAGGGCCAGATGGGCCACCTCTCCAAAGGGGAGTTTTTGTAGTGTGGCATGAACTGCAAGTTTTAATCTGGGTTGATGGGTTCTTCTCCTCTGCATCTAATGTCTGTGAAACAAAAACAAGATTAGAGTTAGCATTCAAGATTTGATCAAAAATCATGATCAAAATCATAAGAAATCATGATCATCATACTCCTCACCTTCTCTTCTTTCAGATCCATATTATGAAGCAGATTATTTCTACTCAAAAGATCAAGAAACACACACTGACAGGTGTACTGTGTTTGTAAGCAAGTACTGTATAACTCTTGGTGGGTGTGTCAATAATTTATTCAATGGAGGGTAGAATCAAACTTTAACAATGAAACAGAAAACCCACAAAAAAATTTAAATAAAAAATCTAGAGAGCGAACACGAAACCGTACTGATTTTGGTGATCACAGGTTTAGATAGAGAAATTCTGTGTGCTGATATGTGTGTATTGCGGGTAGATTTAGGGATTTATATATGAGAATATGATGGGAAGAGAGGGAGCCAAGCTGGTGGACACTGGTCAGCCGTACACGAAACCCTAGCAAACGCTATATTTCGTTTGAAATGACAAAAATAACCCTCAATTTTGAATTTCCATTAGAGCATTGTTGGCCGTTCATCTACCCATTATGATCATGATGTTTACATCTTGTGATCCCTCATCGCACCTTGTGATGAGTCAACGGTTACACTTGGAATTTTCTTTTTTAATAAAATATTTATTTATTATATAAATTGGTATACGTGGGAAAAAAATTGGAACAAAAGAGTTTGACACATTTTATTAAATCATACTAAATGAACCTAGAGAAAATGATAAATAAACGAGGATTTTTTCTCGAGAAAAAGCGTAAATTTACTGAACTCTTGCTCCTACTTTCGAATCACAGATTGCATGGGCAAAGGAGTCGATGTGAGTTGGATCACTCACATTACGATCGTTTTGGTGCAAATTTTGTAAAGGTTCGATTTTAAGTCAAAATATAGCTTATTTCAAATATGGAAAGAATGAAAGTGATACACGTGTTCAAGTTGACCATCGGTTGCCAACTATTCTACTTTTCTGTTTCTTATTCTTTCACCTTCCTAATGCAACTGTTTTCAATATTCAACGGTACAAAGGAAAAAGATAAGAAATGGTAAGACTAAACAAATATGCACAGACAAAGTTTACTAATTATTCTCAAATTGGTTATGATTACACGGTTTTGCTATTTGTATATCAAGGTGTATAGCCCTCTCATAATAGGAGAGTCCCCATCCAATAAAGAAATCGCGAGCCCTCCTATTATGAGGGGACTATACCCTGAAGCACACATAACAAAACCCATGAATATAAATAACATGATAAGGCTAACAAAATGCCTTTTTATGTACTATCTTGTTTGGCTAGTACATTAAATGCGTTCGAAGAAGGAGAAGATGGAAATGAAATCACAAAAAAATTATGAGTTTAGGTGAGTTTATATCATGATAGACGACAACTCATAAAGAAACATAGGCCAATATAAAAATCTAGATTTTAATGTCCGTAGGCATTGGATGATGAATAATATCAAAGTTTGAGTAGGATTAGCACTTTTTCTTCCACGTAATCCATCTATATATAGATGTGAGACAACTTATTTACGAATGGATGTGTTCCTTCATGAAAAGAGGCATTTTTTTTCATATCTGATTTTCATGCAATTGAATCTCCTGCGACCAGCTCGTTCGAGCATATAGAGTTAAGGTGATTTGTGTGGTGTGAGAGCAGAAAATGCAAGCTTGCATGGCTTGCCAACTCGCTCGTAATTTTGTCTGTCGAGAATCTTAGTTTATGTTCTCTTTACATTTGATCAACTCCAATCAAACATATCATACTTAATCAAGAGAAAATTGTAATTTTATATTTTTGTAAATTTAAAGTGTTTAAATCACCAAAATGCTATCAAATAAACTTCAAGATATATTTTTGAAAATATATCACCTATTGGTGAATAATTTCTCAAACAAAGATGGCCATCTAAAAAGAAAAACCTTTTGTACCAAACTATTAATTACTGTATATATATATTAATTAGGATTTTATTGATGACAGAAGCAAAGTAAAGCAAGAGAATATTGATATTGACGGTCTCCAGATATGTGACCCGAGAATTTGAGTTGACCTCCAAAGTGTCACGGTCAAAAGTCACTGCACCTGCCACTTATTTTGAATTGTGAATAATTGTTTATATTAAGGATCTGTCTGAGATTGATTTTGAGAATTGATTTTTTGATCGTTAGAAAAAAGTGAGGGTCACTTGTAAGAGAAGAAGTCAAAAATTACGACTGAAATAGTGAAATAACGGTCAAAAAATTAATTTTTTGAGGTGAAAAATCACTCTCAAACAGAGCCTAAGTGTTTGTTTGATGGAGATTTTGTTAATTGATTTTTTGACCATTAGAGATAAAGTGTGTCCTATCTGTGAAAGAAGAATTCAAAAATGACGACTGGAATAGTGAAATAATGGTCAAAAAATTGATTTTAATTGACTTTTAATCCCTATCAAATATGCTCTAAAACTTATTTACGTATGCCTAATTTTTTGCCAAGGAGAAATTGCATTATTGTTTTCCAGCCAATGTCCTTTGTGTAGTCATATCTCTACTTAGAGGGTGTTTAAGTCCCATTTTTATGAAAACGTGAATTTTAGAATAGTAGATTGGTAGAGAATGTGTGGTTGAAAAATAAGAAAACAATTTCATTTGCGTATAATATTATTTTACTGAAAAATGGCTAAAAAGAAGAATGAAAAAATATATTTAAATAAAAAAATGAGAATCAAACTAGACCTAATACTTTTGAAAAGCATTGTCCACAATTCTTTAATTTGTAGACTTGTAAGTACTGAATTGTAAGTTTAATGTTAAGAAAGTACATATGTGATATGTCACACTGGTTTGTAATTTCGACAATTGATCTATAATAGAAAATCACAACCTCTATATACGCCACACTAGTTTGACATTACATTTCTATTTTACTTACCCAATAACGTAAGATTTTATATATAAGGTCTCGTATCTATAACCAACTCTCTTAAATAAGGACTGAGATACATGGAAACAAGATTCAAGTTAATTAAAGTTGAACATAAGAAAGCTAATTTAAATTTCTATTTTACTTACCCAATAACGTAAGATTTTATATATAAGGTCTCGTATCTATAACCAACTCTCTTAAATAAGGACTCTGATACATGGAAACAAGATTCAAGTTAATTAAAGTTGAACATAAGAAAGCTAATTTAAATTGTTTGCCAAATCATTTAACATAAAGCTTAAAAAAAAAAACACTAAGAAAAGATTAGGGATGATAATATATTTATTTGTTTAATTATTTAATTAATATTTCGTTTCCTTATTAGCTTATAGGTCTCTTTGTAATATATTAAATCATTGTAAACCCTAATTTCTTAAGTGGCTCAATTGTTTTTCTCTTCTTCTTTCTCCTTCTTTGATTCTCTACATGTGTTTGATTAAATAGATTAGATTATATGTTATCAAGGGAAATAAAGTTGCAAAAAATAAAAAGGATAAAATCCCTCATTATGTTCTGTTTGGTATTAGAAATTTAGAAGACAACACCCCATTTTTCTATAGCATCTTGACTTCAACATCAAACAGGGTTCAACCAAAACCCATTCCTTGAAATAACACCTAAATAAGTACATGTTTGGATTCGGTTAAAAACTGCTTAAAAGTAAATTAAATAAGTAAAATTCGAGATAAATAACTATTTTGTGGGTTAAAAAATAAAAAAAAGTAGATTACCTATTTTAAAAAATAATATCTATTTCTATTGTCAAAATAAGTAATTTTTAACATAAAACTACAATTAGATAGTAAACAATTACAGGTCGTGACCGTTGTGATGCAACGAGGAGAAACCAATGATATTAAAATTATGTTTTATACATAGATGCCTTGGGGTCGTTTGTAGGCACTTGAGCTAGGATTCTCTTTTTAGTAAGCCAACTTATTGTTTACAAATGAGTTAATAGTAACCTCATGAATTCTTAGCTATGAAAAGGGAATAGCCATTGCTTTACATTACAATGTCTGAAAAACAAGTATGAATACTTGTTTACCTGCAACTTAAAGTAATATTTCAAATGTCTGGAAAAAAAATTTACTTACTTCTGAAGGTTAGCCAAACATGATCCAATTAACCCTAATATAATAATGCATGTTATTATTATATTATTATGTTAATGTGAGGAAAAGAGGGCCATATATTTTGTCTGGCCATACACCAATAATTCCTAAATAATTTAATTTGGTTGATTTGTTTTGAGTTAATTTCTCCTTCTAGTTTACTTTGCAAGTTGCAAGTAGAGGACATCTAGACAGTTGTTTCTGTTTTTCTGTCCAATTTTTTTTATGTTGTCCGATGCAAATCTGGGTAATTTTTCACACGTCTGGTTTATTGTGGCTTGTATTTTATGTAAACGAATGTATACTAATACTAGACTTGTTATATTCGAAATGAATAAGTATTTTAACTATAATTGATAGTTGCGTGTCAAGGTAGCGAGAACATGATGAAACTAATCTAGTATACTTCGTACTTGTTTCTATTTTATATTTATTATAGATAGAGCTACTTGTACATAATTATTTACGGATTGATGTACAGAGAAAGAGAAAAAAGTTAGTTATATGCAGGGACGGATTTGGGGGGGAACTGGTTGGGCTGTAGCGTCCCCCTTCCAACCAGGTCCAATTAATCTTTTTTAGGGTAATTTTCTTTATTATTATTTTTTTTTTTGTAAAAACAGATTTTTTAATGAGTAAATTTTTTTTTTCGCATATTAACCCGACTTGAATTTTTTTTAAATATGTCTTGAATTCAAACCTGGATTCGTCCTTGATTATATGTTTATATAGTTTCATGTCATCAATATATAAATAATTACTTGCAGAATTTTCTTATGACAATAACTATCGGTTTTCATGGGGTTAGCATTTCAAGTAATGAAAATAGTGAATCGAGCAATATCTTGAACTCCTTCTCACGAAATGATACTTAAAAATAGTACATGAATATTATGTGGATGAAAGTACAAAACTTAAGGGACTGTTCTCTTCTTGTTTCATTTTTGTAGTTTTGAGTTTTGAATTCATTTTGAGTTTTGTGTTTTCAGTGCCTGTTTTAACATTGTTGAAAATATGTTACTTTGTCATTCTGAAAAATTATTTCTCAAAACATAAAATTGAAAAACGCGTTTACTTTGAAATTTTGAGAATAATTTTTTTATAATATTTTATTCAAGAAATTTGATTATTCAATAAATTTTTATAGTTTAATGTTAATATTGTATTAAACATAATATTAGTTGAAGTTTATAGAATTATTTCATGTTAGCCATTGGATTTTATTTTAATTTTAAACTAGTGATTAAAACTAATGACTCATCCATATCTCACGAATTGTCTGAAGTTGTTAAAACTAATTCCATTTGTAATTAT